TTTGGGATGTCTTGAAATGCAGTTTCGCACAACAAAACTCGAACTAATTCTCTGAACTAAATCTTGAAATTATTTTTAATTAACAAGGAATTGATAAAATAAAAAGGAAGTACCTCTAAGATCCTAATTTCTTTTTTCAATGCAAAATAAAGAAATTGGTAACTCGATATTATTTCAATCTTTAGTTTTATATTTTATGAATTATCATATTTTATGAATTGGCTGTCTATCCGAGACCTTATTTATAGAATAGAACCATAAAGAAAAATTTTTTCCTCTGGAAAAAAGGGTATCAACTGGAGCTAATACATTTATGAGCCTTGATGGCCCATCCAGTGGCCAGTAGAGTGGAATGGTAATGAGGCCAATTAGCATCTAAACTGAGCTCTTTGCAGCTCAAGTACTACCTATGCAAGTGACCAAATATTAATATCACCAGCGTTCTCCTTAACCTCATCCGGCCACTGAAGCTGATTTTTGTGGACTTGAGTCCCACAAAAAACCGCCGGCTGAACTTAATTTTTGTAGATTCCGGTCCCACAAAAACATATTTATGAAACTCAGTCATGAAGAAACATTCTCCTTCTTCAGGAAAAGAGACTTGTGGTCTACAGGCAGGGCACTGATTACCGTTTGTAAGTACTTTTGCAAAGTCGAATCACACCTCCTCTCAAAATTTGTTCCTCTGGTATTTCCCCTTCCACTTCCGCTTCCTATCCCCATCCCAGCTACCTTCCTGAATTCTCCTAAGTTCCTACACCAGGGCTTTTTACATATTCCGGAATCCCTCTACTTCTTTTCCAAGAAATGCCTTCCAGCACGCAAAGCAGAACTGTCGAGAAAAATAAGAAACCGAAAACATTTTTTTCTCAAAAGTGCGACCCCCACCCCTGTCACGCACTGGGAATCCCAACATACGACATGCCCTGCTTATGGGACACCTACAAGTGCAATCAAATGTGAGCACCTTTTCGCATCTTACGACTGGAACTCTCTCTACCTATTACGGTTAATGGCTTGGAGGGGCATCAAATGGTACTTAGCGACTTGTAGAGGCCACTTGTTGAAACTCTGTAAATTACTGTAGCTAAAGTAGCTCACTTGTGCAGTTTTACAGCTCCAAAGAGTTCATAGGCCTCGCCAAAGTGAGACCTGTTATTTAGGATGAACAAATGGAACTGCTTAGAATGCGAAATGCCCCCCCCCCCGCCCCCACTCCCCTCCATGCAGTTGTTTCAGGGTTTGTCCTGTTCACGGCGCTTATTATAGCCTGGAGATAGTAGCAGCGTACCCCTGAAACCACCACATAAATAAATAAACAATTCTAAGAGGAGGTTGCGAGGAAGCAGAAAATGTGTTAGAGTGTCAAACACTAGGATAAACTAGAGAAACCTCCGGCGAAACTGAGCGCTGGACGCTGCTGGATGAGGCCAAATCCAATCGAGCCGGCTTTGAATAGGTCAGAAAACAATTGCTTGACGTGACAGCCAGTCATCTGCAGATCGCATCCTTTCTGCCAGCCAGCCATAGACATGGTGGTCCCTATGGGATTCACACGCATAACTCGCCTACAGATTGAAAACGCTGCACCCGTGGAAACGAGCACCACTCCGTGGACAACCTGCGCTACTCATTAGAATATGAAATTATTAGAAATGACAGGGTGTATGAGGGAAGTGTTGTGATGGCGGAGGGAGAGGCAAATTATCCGCTCAGATGCAATTCCATTGACGAAAACCTCATTAAAAGATAAACGAGAAGGACTGGCTGAGCAAAGACTGACGCATAATACTCGTCAAGAGAAGAATGGGAACAGGAGGGGAACACGTTGAAAAGTACTTCATGAAAATATTTACTCTATACCATAAAGCAGTTTTAGTGAGTGATTAATGCTGCAAATGTAATATTGCAATAATAGATAATGGAAATGTGTGCAAAAATTGAACCGCTAATCTCTGCAGGGTAACTGTAGGTGTACACATTCCCCCGCAATTTTGTAACATCTGCTTGACATTAGAAATTTTGATTTTTTCCTGTGATACATGAGGATCTTTTGCGAATTTTTTTGCTTCACGTACAAGTATTTTCGGGGTGGTTCGGCTCTGAGGGGACTTTTGCTAATTTCTTTTGCCGTCTTTTCAAGCTGGGCATTCCATTTAGGTGACTGCTGTAGGCTTCAGTCAAGTGTAAATGAAGCCCTTGCTATGGCATAGTTTTTCCGAAGTTTCCAGTCTCCACAGGAGCATCCGATTGGAGCCCAGCAGAAACGCCCGCTGCCATGCCGGGCCCTTTTCTTTTTGAAGACCCAAGTCGTGATCAAGTTGGTCTGTTTTGATGCAAAATGCAGCTAACTCTTTCAGGTGCAGGGTTTTAACGCTTGTTTGCTAAGAGGGGCATTTTGTTGGAAGTTCTAGTTTCTCTTTACTTTCCTCACCCTAGACCTAAACTCCTGTAAATGACGGAGTGATTATTAAGCTTTGCTGTACTTTCGCGTTTCGTAAATTTTGGATGAATACGGCTCCCCTGAAATTCGCTTCTTCTCTACGACACCCTCTTCCCTACCCTCCCTACCACTTTCCAGACGTTTCCCCAGTTTTCCCCTTACTCTCGAGGATTCTCGTGAAGTACAAGGGTCGTCACTACCCTACTAGTAACTCAGAAAACGTAGACCGAAATATTAGTTGCTTGCAGCTTTGAGGAGGGGGCATGTGGATTTATATAGCAAACATGAAGCAGAAAAAAAATCGAGAAATGCGGAAAATTTGTCACGGCTTAGACAAACCTTTTTTCGCAGGTAAGCACCACCCCATTACAGCTCCCTGAAGGGATTCCCTAAACGAGGTGTGTTCACAAGGTCTACGATCCTGCACAGCTTTGCTGATAACCATCTAGTAGCTTCACGAGCATTTGCAGGTCTCCCCGCCGACGAGAACTAGCAAAACCCACCTGGCCAAAGTGAACTGCCACGAAAAAGACGGTCTCATCACCTTTTGAAGCCATTCCCCTCCAACCTTTCATTTTCCGAAGTAAAAACAAATTCAGAGTAATAAACTGCGGTGTTTCCACGCAGAATTATGCTGTTCATACTATTGCCTTCATTCGTCAAAACAGGATGCAAAAAGATCAAAGATCGTTCGGATCTTGTTCTTGAACCATTTTACATCTGGATCTGCGTTCCATAGGTATCACAGTAAACACAACAGAAGAGCTGAGATTGCGTCATAGAACATTTCGCTCACCACAGCCGTCATCGTCAAAGGCCATAAAACGTTCAAACCAGAAGGATTAATGTCGCGTATCGGACAGGTGAGACGCAACCTCTTTATGTACTTGCGAGAGTTGTACAGAGAAGGAGTAAAGAGAGAAAAGAGATGAGCAAAGAAAAGCGAAAAAGTGTGCGAAATAGGAAAAAGTAAAGGTTCGAAGGAAGGAGTTAACGAACGAAAGAACTGGAGGTAGGAGAAATGGCCAAAGGAAGTTGATGTGTAGTATTGACAGAAGGAAGTAAAGGTGTAAAAAATGAGGTAAGGAAAAGGAATAACTGGAGCCAGAAAAACTCATATGAGGAAGAAACGAAAAAATAAAATGGTGGGAGGGAAGACGATGAGCATATGGCTCGTAACAAGGTGGATAAAGTGATCTTCACCCCGGAATTTCCTTCATTTTGGCTACAGCCAGACGGATGGTTACAAAGTGGAATGAAGTACAGTGCTCACCGGAGCCTCGATCGGAGGCATCCCTACATAGAGTCT